CTGTGGATCACACAAAGAGTTGTTCCGTGCGGGAATCGGTCCCGTGACACGTTGCGCGGCAGTCAGTTGCCCAACCACCGCACCAACCAGACACGCCACTAGTCATCAGTCCACCTACCTTTTGTGTGTACCTAGTACCTTTAAATTGAATTTTAATTAGCAATAGGGAAAATGTTACATTATCAAAAATTGGTAATTTTACCGGCTACATTCCCATTACAGACGTGGTAAGAGTCTTTAATGATGTAATATCATTTATAATGAAGTAGGCAACATTTGTAATTCATGTAATTTGTGTACATAATTTCCTTATGTTGTTTTGAATTGCCTCTTTGGCTGAGTGGTCGCAAGTGCGTCTGCCGGGCAAAGGGTGTCGGGCAAAGTACTACTGGGTTTTTCAAAATTATTTATTACATGAGACTCATAACATAAATAGTGAAAAGTGGGTGTTACATTTAACAGTGGTATTGAGTGCCGTAATGTGCACCTCTGCCTACCCCTTCGGGGATAAAAGGCGTGATGTTAAGGTGTAATATAAAATATTCACAGCTTATGTATACATAACATCACGCTCATCCAAATAAAGAAACTTTCACATGTATGATATATAAGTGTGATATGATATCTATGGTATCCCGTTAGTTAACTCATTAGGACTTAGGACACTCGCGGGATGACTAGAAGTGGCATCAAATGTATGTCATTGTACAGTAACCAACACATCATCAATCTACTCCAATATGTTAATATTTGTTAATGGATTTTCGACTTTATATGAACGTTACAATTGAAGATCTAATAAAGAAATTTTACAGAAAAGAGAAGGTGGTATTATCATCACACATTGAAGTTAAAATGGATTACTTACAGTACCCTTGAAATATTATTCACGTTGAATGTAAAATTCCATAAATTATGTATAACATTTATAGCTCTGTAAAATTAGTCAGGTAATTAATAAGTACCGTCCCCTTAATTACAGTTCAATGTTTTTTTACTATTGTTATTCATTATATCGATAGCCACCGGTTTTTCACATCGCTAACGTCATGTTAAGGCCGATTTCGAAATGTTTCTATCATCACAATACTCTGATTTAAATTTTATCATCATTTCGATAATGCAAGATTAGTTTGTGACGTCATGCGATGATTAATCATGTATGTACAACAAACATATATATTTCATATCACTTAATACTATGTATACAGAAGCTATCGGTAATACCGACTCGGTATACCTATTTAAATAAATAAATAAAAAAAAAACATATACATTTATATTTGTTAAACTAGCTACTTCCGCGCGGTTTCACTCGCTCTGCTAGGCGCCTATTAATCGTAGCGTGATATTTTATAGCCTATAGCCTTCCTCGATAAATGGGCTATCCAACACAGAAATAATTTTTCAAATCGGACCAGCAGTTTCGGAGATTAGCGCGTTCAAACAAAACAATCTCTTCAGCTTTACAATATTAGTATAGATATATACAAATACACTTAGTAGATAATGTATAAAGTATTGCAACATCAAGGGAAATAGACGAATCTTCGTTCTGAGTTCTGAATCATGGGTTTCAGTGAGCTAATTTTATTTTCCTAAATATGCATTCCACATGACCCGTTATGTGTGTTGAAGCACCGTCATCGTCATAAGGATGTTGTTTAGTTCTTAAGACATCTGTGTTGTTTATATATTTTTACCTGTGACGTGAAAGGTGTGCCCCTTGTCCATAGAAGGGTAGGTACAGTCTGGGTGTCTTTAACTCTCAAGTGAATAGATTGCTTATAGGTAGGCATGCTCCATTGTCGACTACATCATCGCTTACCACCAGGCGAGTTTACCAAACGCTAAATTATGAAATATATTAGAAAGAACGAGTTTAGTCATTAAGTATTACTCATACTTTTAAGTCCTAAAAAGGAAATTTTTTCGGCAGTAGCAATTGCGACCACTTGGCCAACGAGGCAGTCCTTCATTAGTGTCTAAAGAATACTACCAGAAAATTGCAGTAATATCTTTAACATCTTTGATAACTATTATAATGTAATCTAAACACTATCTGTGCAACATTAACACCCACTTTATAGTAAGTACTGTTAGTTATCTTTATCTGAACCTGGTATTATTACGTCACTGATAAATCGTTTAATGATGAACCTTTATTTTGCATCTAGTCTTCAAGTCTGTCGCGGAGAACCTAACGGGTAACCGGGGCTTCGGCTCGACGTGCAGGAGAAGGAACGGGGTAGTTTTTAGTCAGTAAGAGTCTGACATTCCCTCCCTCCTCACCCAGGCGGAAGAAGTCATTCGATGATTTTTCCCTCCTTAAAAAAAAGTCTTCAAGTCTCTGCAGGTTTTGTCTTGCAAGTCTCATACGTCTTATATTCTGAGTTTTGACAATATATGCTCTTATTAGTCATCTTTGTTGTATTCTCCCTATTGTTGTCTAGTTTTCTACTTAAATAATTATTATCAGCCGTAAATCTAAACTTTTGTGTTTGTTTTACACAAAACTTTATGCCTTTTGTGTTTGCGTCGCATTTTCACAATTCATCTCTTTACAAAAATAATATGTAGAATTTCATGTTAATTTTAGTGTTGATTATTATCTATGCCACATTCAATTAAATAATCCCACGTCTTCATGTCCACATCTTATCACTTTTACCTTTGTAGTCCAAGAGCCAGTGAACCCTGGGAGTAACGGTCTCCCTGTAAGGTTAGAAATTTGTATACTTACGATTTATGGTATTCTAAGAGCAATAGCCATGACCTGGCAGGCGTCAGCCCTGCACGTCATCAGCCCCTTTATTTTTTGAACTGTTAAGTAAATTGGGTTTTAAAACTTGTTTCTGTAAATTTGAAAATTTAATAGGATAAAGTTTATTTATTGTACATCTTAAAAAAAAATTGACAGGTGATTACAATAAGCAAAAGTATATGACAGATCAATTAGAAAACGCACTGTTGATGAGGTAATTAATAAACTTTATCCTGTATACTTGAAATTTTTATATGTCTTCAAATAAACATCTCAGAGTAAATATGTACAATGCCAGGCGGTTTTGAACAGCATAAGACCTTGACAGGCGAGGGAATAGCTGCTAAGAGCGTGCGAGAAGTGTCATGAAGATGGTACAATACATAAAACTCAGAAATCAGCAATGGTTGAAATTTTAAAGGCAAATGTCAACTGTGAAGACGTACCAAGACGTTTTGATGTTGTCATTTTTGATTTTTGATGGATTCTTCTTACTGCATACATTAAAAAATATCCCCAAAACATTTAGTGGTATTTCCACAAATATTATGTCGCTACTAACAGCTACACATGCCTCATGAGTAGATATCATTTTCGACCAATACTTTTCGCCGTCAATTAAAGATAACGAGCCAAACGACAAGAAGTACGAAACAAAAATTATTTCATTACCGGACCAGAACAAATTCGACCAGTTAATTTTATGAAAGAACTTCGTAACATACAATTTAAAGAAGCTTTCGTAGATTTTTTAATTACACATTGGAGCACAAATGAAATGATAGAGTTTATCGGGAATACCATAGTGAACTTAAATTACAAACAATGCTATACTTATAGTGGCCATGATAACTCTGTGATTGTCGATATAAATGATGATTTATCGTGCCAAAACCATGAAGAGGCCTTTAAAATTTGCCTTTAAAATTTCAACCATTGCTGATTTCTGAGTTTTATGTATTGTACCATCTTCATGACACTTCTCGCACGCTCTTAGCAGCTATTCCCTCGCCTGTCAAGGTCTTATGCTGTTCAAAATCGCCTGGCATTGTACATATTTACTCTGAGACGTTTATTTGAAGACATATAAAAATTTCAAGTATACAGGATAAAGTTTATTAATTACCTCATCAACAGTGCGTTTTCTAATTGATCTGTCATATACTTCTGCTTATTGTAATCACCTGTCAATTTTTTTTTAAGATGTACAATAAATAAACTTTATCCTATTAAATTTTCAAATTTACAGAAACAAGTTTTAAAACCCAATTTACTTAACAGTTCAAAAAATAAAGGGGCTGATGACGTGCAGGGCTGACGCCTGCCAGGTCATGGCTATTGCTCTTAGAATACCATAAATCGTAAGTATACAAATTTCTAACCTTACAGGGAGACCGTTACTCCCAGGGTTCACTGGCTCTCCAGCTATTGCCTTATTTTAACAGATTGTAGTAACTTGCCCCTTTATATTATCTATGAATGACATTCCGTTATGTCAACAATGACAGCTCTCACTGTCAGATCTATCAATCACTCATGTTCCTAAATATAGCCCCAAGACACCATGTTAGTTCATAGCCCATAGCCTCCCACGATAAGTGACGACAGTCTATTCCTAGACACCACAATATTTACAACTTATGCGTCATCAGCAGAAAATGTTATCATACAAAATGCTACTGTAATGACTAACACTGAGGGTAGATAGTTGAGTAACTGACTAAGAGAGATTCCTCTGCAGTCATCGGTGTCCAGAATAGATGCTTGATGATTCGTTACTTGTAAAATATGTTAGCTGCAAGTGAAATTCCATTTAATAGCAATTAAGAGGGTTAAAATTAAACTCCTCTAAAATAGTTGATCTTTGGTTTGGGACATGGTATATTTAAAAAAAAAACGTTGCCCCACATCAGGATTTTCTCCTGTGTCGTGGGTGCGTTTACAAACATACAATTTCATTTCACATACACATGATACCCAGACTCAGAACAACAATAAGTGGATCATACAAAGAGTTGTTCTGTGCGGGAATCGAACCCGCGGCACGTTGCGTGGCAGCCAATTGCCCATCCACAGCATTACTTGGTATCATCTTTTGGTCGATGAAATATGTTGAACCATTTGCTTACCATCAAATCAGAAACAACAAAAGTACCCTAAATAATCCTAAACTATAATTTTAAGTTGTATGATTAAAACCCTAACGTCTAAATTTGTTTGTTACAGATAGTTTAAAATGCACGACCAGGAGGGTGATGGCGAGCCAGCGCATCACGCGCGTCGCCCGATGAATGCGTTCCTCATCTTCTGCAAACGTCATAGGAGCGTCGTTCGCGACAAATATCCTAATCTCGAGAACAGGTTTGTACCAGATATTTCTAAGGTAGAAGATGGGCAGACGAATCCCCTGATGGAAAATTACAGCCACCCATGGCCATCCGCAAAACCAAATCAGTTACAGCTGCGTTGCTTTTTTACAGCACCAAATTTGGACAAAGCTTTCCTATTTTCTCATTCCCCATAATACTCATTAGAATCTAAATATTCCGTATCCAAACTGAACTAGAATATTTCCACATAACTCTTCAAGTTCGATAACTGATAAGATATAGTTTACACAGTTTTATACTTAAACAGTATAGTGTATAGTTAACTATTATGTTACAGATCAATAACTAAGATCCTCGGCGAGTGGTGGGCTAACTTGGACAAGGAAGAAAAGGCTTGTTACACAGGTCTTGCTAAACAGGTGAGAAATCACATTCAATCTAATGACAATACAAAAAACTATGTTGTTGATGATGTTATTTGATGATTCGTTTTCTTTTCTCCAGTACAAAGACGCCTTCTTCAGCGCCAACCCTGACTTCAAGTGGTACAAGTTGCCCGCGCCACCACTCCGTACGCTGTCGTCCCGGCCCAGAGACTCCAACGAGAAGCCCGTCGAGTCCCCCAACAGTGACCAGAACGACCAAGAACTGGAGAAAACCAACAACAACTCCACCAAGGTAGACTTCAACAAGAAGCCCCGGGAAGAATCCTTTGAAGCTGAGTCTAAACCACTTTCCATGTTCACTCCTGGAAAACTGGCTGACGAAGCCCAAATGGGAGGTCTCAGCAGCCTCCTCGCAACTAAGACTGATACTCAAATTACAAATCCATATTACTCACCCCCTTGCTTTAAATTTAACGCGATCTCAACACCAGACGAAAATAGATCTCATAACGTAATAGAGAGGGCCAAAACGAAAGGTGATGACGACATACAAAAATTACAGGGTGTCCTCACCGAAACCTCGAAGATATTCGAACAACAGTTGCAAGAGAAGAAAAGAATATACTACGGTATACCGAAAGATGAGTTCACCAACCAGGATGTGATAGACCAAATAGTCGATAAGAGATACTCCAAAGACGATGAGTACGGCTGCCAGAGGAACTGGTCGGATGATGAGAAGAACATGAGGTCAGATAGATCATGCAAGGGGAAGAGGTACCAGGAGTTCATGGCTGTTGGGGGTCTCATAGTAAACAAGCGACAGAAGCGGGACTCGGACAAGCCAGACGAGAACTACAGCGCGACCTGTAGCTGGGATCCTGGCTGTCTGCGGGATGACACGATGGACGACGAGCCGAACAACAGCAACGACAAGCCGGCCGACTGTGACGATAAAGTCGACACTACGGACATGCCTGAACCCGACAATAATGCCAACAAAACATTCAAGGCTGCCGACTTTGATTTAGATGCTAAAATTAGAGCCCTGCCTTCACTTAGTCTAGAGAAGTTCCAGCAGAAGAAACGTGAAAACAAACGTAAGAAGAAGACCGTCAACTTGAAACCAAAAGCACTGGAGACATCGCAGATAGTCAACTCAGTTCCTAGGTCCATGATGGAGGATAGGCGGGAGACGGCGGAGCACTGGCGGGACACCGTCATCGGCAGCCAGAAGCGCAAGCCGCGCAAGATCAGCATCACGCGGCTGGAGATCAATAGCATGGTGTCGAGCGTGGACCTGGAGGCGCAGCAGATCAGCCCGCAGATGAAGATCGCGACGGAGGCGCCCGCGCCCGCGCTGTGCCGCCAGTCGCCGCTGGCCGGGGACCTGCTGGCGCTGGCCACGCTGGCCGAGGTCGCCTCCAACACCTCCAAGCTGGACGACTCCGCCATGCACTACATGACCGCCAAAGCAAGCGACTCCAACGCTTCCATGGTATGAGATACCGACACAACTAGCCTTAATATATTATTCCAAATATTATTTACTTTGTAATCAGATAATATTTATATATAGATCTAATTTTACATTTTACGCATAAAAATTAATATTATTGTACACTTTTAACTGTAGTTTTTATAACGTAGCGATAGAAATATTTATATTGAAAATAGAAAAAAAGAAAGTATATGTATACCTTACGTTAGTTTAAAACGTCGTTTAGGCTGCTAAATACTGCTTTGTTTAGGACTAGAAAAAGTAAGAGTGATAGTTGTATGTCCAGACGAATAACAACAAAGCATAATGATTTATATTATAGTAAGAACAGATACAAATACATTACAATTATGATATCTTAAGGTGTTATCGTCGTGTCGCGGGATTCGTCGCCGCCATTTCATCACATCAACGGTTATAAAATGCCAAACAAATAAGTCATTTTAAGATAATTGTAAACCTCATTATGTGTAAACTTAGGTTATTTGAATCGCCTTAATATTTTAGAGATTTAAATGAAGATACTAAGACACCACATGCATAGACTGCATTGCATTTTTAAGGTGACTTATTTCTCGTTTTATTGCAAACATGCAATAATTTATCATTTATATTTAATATTTATATTATACATTAGTGGCTGTAGTCACGTGTTTTTTTGTAAAAAGCGAATTTATCACAACAACTATGGCAACTGGCGGATGGAAGTAGGATGTAAACGTAAGGCTGGGAATATTGTGTGTTGCCTTAAAATTAAAACATGTATACAATGAGATGTAACAGCGATACGTTACTCATACTCATTTCGACCTGTCGAGTATGAGATTACATGATCAAATGTAGATATGACTCAATGTACAACATAATACGCTAATTGTGAACGCCTTATACTGCTGTATTCGCACTTTATATTACGCAATATGTGTAAACAGCTAACTTGCTTAGTACGATTCAAATTAACAAATGAATACAGAAGAATTCATTGAATATATCACTGTTAACGTGTCGCGAAATTTCAGTAATTAATTTCCAGCCTAAGATTGGGACTTTTGTTAAAATTCTAGTAAAAACCTACTAAGTAGTACCCGTGCAATCCTTTGTACATATTGTTATTGAATGTTTATTTAATTATTTTAGTCATACTCTAACAAAGATCCCAATCTATAAATTATTTTAAACGAAAGATTTTTATGAATCTTTTTGAAAGTTTTTATACTTTCTCGAGGTATAGAAACAAATGCGGTTTGAGGAAATCTATTGTAAGGAAACGTGATGCTATTTATAAAGATGTGGAGCAATTGGCGAAAGAGGTAGAGATTGTAATTTTTATAGTTGCCAGATGAGGCCTCAAAATACCGGCCGTATCGCGCGAGTCAAACTCGCAAAACTTTTCTTTGTGATAAAAATCTTTGACTAGTGCTGTTAGTTTTAACTTAAAAATATATCACCATTGTTTCATAATTATTATTTATCGAATTTCATGAAAAAAAAAACATTTTACTCATAAAAAAATCGAAAAAAAAATATATCATTCGATTGAACGTACACTGATTAGATTAATCTTGTCCCTATTAGGTACCTGAAGTTATCGAAAATTCATGAATTTCATGTGAGAAAAATAAGAAAAAAGAAACTAAAAAAATATAAGATCATTTTGAAACCATTTTTAAGTTATAAAATAAATGTCAATATTATATTAATGTAGTAGTTTACGTGTTTGAAGAACAGTGTTTCTCAAATTTTTGTTCTTGTTTATTTTTGTAATGGATTTTAAGGGGTTTCTGTGATTTTATTCTATCTCCTATGTTAAGGTTGCCGGCGTGAAGATTTCGTTTGCAGGTCTAGTCTAGATTAGGGTTTATAATAAAAAAATGATCAAGTACTAAATTCGAAAAGTGCACTTATATTGTTTATAAAGTTACAAACGATGACACAAGCCATAATGTGACATGCTCATCCAAAGACCAAATGTATTTAGAATAGAAAAGCTAGCATGTAGATATTGTATATGTAAAATATAGGTGATATATATTATGTATAATAAATATTTTAACAACTTGTCAATCTTGTGGCATTCCAAAATGTCAAAATTATCATGTTACTCTATGAAATGTATTATTGCATTTTGTTTTTTCAAACATTTTTATTTTCACATAGATTTTAAACCTATAATATTTGTTGATTTTTATGTAAAGTTTAATGGATTGTTACGTTTTATTATGAAGTGGTGAGCTTTCGACGGTTCCTATACGAGATTTTTAATGATGAGCTTTACAGGGCTTTACTATATCAATCAAAATATATAATTAATACTACATAAATAACAGATTACTTATGAAAAAATATATATTTTGCCTTGTCGAGATAGAGCCTTATTTTATAAAGAAAAATATCTAGTATTAAGGCTAATTGAGAAGGGGCCATTATCGGAAAAGGGAATTTAGAAATAACACAATTTTTAAATTATATTTATTAAACACAGAATATATTTATGGGAATGGTGAGATTATAATTAAAATCTCTAAATTGAAACCTGTAGGATCCGATATGAATAAATATGGTGCTGGAAGATCTGTATTACTTTATTTTAAGAACCGTAGTCCTCAGCACGTGCGAGGACGGTTAGTCAAAGTAGGTATTGTAATGAATTATTATCGTTATTTTTAAGATAATCGCAATCACTTTGTGCTATATAATATATATTTATATAAATTATCCTGAACAAACAGTACATTGTTGTAGCGCAAATTGATTGTTGATGATTTTTTTGTATCGGTACGGGAAAATTTAATGTAGTTTGAGAAACACTGGTCTGTTTTAATATAAGTTAGGGCATAATATGTCGGTACCCAAAGTGTTTACCTGTTCGGTTCCAAAGTATATTGTTGAATGTTTTGTTACAAACCGCGGTTCAATCTATATCCTTTTATTGTAGTAATAAAGTTTATTCATATTAACAATGCTTTTGTTTTATTGTTCGGCAAATGTTCCCTATAGATAATTAAAAACAATGCATAAGTATCGATGTACTGTTGTATAAATTATTTTGAACTGAAACACGCAATAACAAATATGAATAATGGTCGTGTCGATGCTAATGTGGAAGTAGGATTATTAACAACTAGGTATATAATGCTACCTACATTTTTAGACTAAGATTTCAATTTATTCGTGATTCGTGACGCAACGCGATCGCAAACCGGATGAAGACTGCAAAAATTTCTGAATTCTATGAGATTAAGAATTTGTTAGAGATTGTTTAAGAAAGACCAATCAACAATGATTGAGTATGAGCTCCCAGCGTAGCTTGAAACCGGTCGAGTTAAAACTTCATGCATGGCATACCTATAACAATAAAAAAATTGAGAGATGTTGTGTTCCGTAACTTCCTTCCAGTACCTACCATGTAGGTAGCTACATTGTATTATTTGATATCACCCGCGCGGTTAGCGCAGTCATAGTATAAAGAACAAAGTAGGTTATCTTCATACAAATGCTTCGCGCGCGGCTTATATGTGTGCGCCATAGTATCTATGCGTCGACGCACGCACACTTTAACAAAATCTCGACCCGTTTCTCAGTGCGCCAGGCAGGGCTAACACTGCACGAGGTTCGCGCGCGCATCACTTTTCGGCACTGTTAAATGAAATAAAAAATGTCTGATAACCGTAGAAGAACGTATTGCTGTGTGTTTGGGTGTCTTAATAATTAATCGATTCCAGAACTGTCTCTGTTCAGATTAGGTACCTATTGAACAGGAAAGGTAAGCTAGTCACTTTTTCTAGCATAATATAATTTGTAGGTACTTGATGATGAGATACCTACTTACTTATTCTTACTCTTATCATTCTTCATAGTTCCTACTCAACCAGAAATGTAATTACCTACTATACTTAAATATTATAAGAAAATGTGGTATTGTATTGTTTATTTCACAGTTTATCTGATTTGTTAAGAGCGTGGCCGTGTCGCATTTTTCCATATAAATGTATTCCAAAATTTACTTTCTGAATACTATGTATAGAGCTAAAGTTATTTTAAGAAGTTAATAATCTTTTTATAAGCTTTTTATTTTTACTAAATTTATAAATTGATAAAATATTCAATCATAATAATGCTTTTCATTTCATAAATTTAGATCAAGTGCTGCTTGTTCGAAAATATTAACTAGGAGTAAAAGTGACAACCCTGGGGATCAACGCAAGAGTAGGCTAATAACTCGGCGGGCGGCCTTAGATAACCTACTGTGTTCTTTATACTATGGCGCAGTGGCTAGGCTGTAGTCCAACGTATCATGATCCTGATTCCCGCACAGGACTATTTGTCTGATGCACAAATTGATCCTGGTCTAGGTAAGTGTGGTTTGTATGCAACATGTGAGTAGGAAGGAAAATATTGTATTAAAAAAGACGTCGACTGCTATATGTCGTCTTCTTGGGCCTTACGCAACGACTGCCAGATCATCAGGTTTGAAGAAATTCGCATAAATAACTTCCTGCGATCTTTCATTATTGCATTGTATTAAGTACTTTAATTTTTTGTATGTAAGTATAGAAAAAAAAAAGTATAGTAGGTGCCTAAAACAAAGATAAGAAGTTTTTTAAGACTGGGTGTTCAGGGAATACCCACGGAACACGAATAATTATTAAACTTGTCTAAAATAATGAAATACACGTGTAAGTAAACGTGTCAAATTAAATTTCTCTGTATAAATAATCTGTCGATTTAAAAGAAATGTTGAATAATTAATATTTGGTAACAGTATTGAATTATATAAATATTATTAAATAATTTACGCAAATATTTTAATTATTATTTAATTCTTTATTCTTAAGTGACTAACCGGAAAATGAAAGAACGAAACGCGTCGCATTCGTGCATTACCTACCGGCTGTCAAAATAATTTCAACTGTCAAAAATTGTGAAGATGGGATTTCGTTTCGTTCGTTACGACTCGAATTATCGAAATTATTAAACAATTTTAACTACAGTGCGTTATAAAATAATCCCGTCATCATTTCATGCTCACGTGTGTGTGTTGTTACAAATATTCTTTCAAATCTGGATGAAGAAACCATGATTGCTGCGTCTGAGCCTCTGGTGTGTTATTGTTATTGTTTTTTGAATATTAATCTATAAAACAATATTATAATTCCTTATTTGTATCAAGCTAGTCTACGTGTTTCTTTTTTAATACCCATTATCATTCAAATAAGAACAGAAACCACCCATTTCTTCTTGAATTGGTTATAGTTATGAAACGTAATAAAAGTAATTTCCCTTCTCGTATTTCGTCAAAAAGAATCACTATAACTGTTTTAAAAGTTGTTACAATAATATATTTACGTCATAACCAATCCAGTAACAATTAATAAGGTTTGAAGTAACCAAAGAACAAAATATCCAAACTACAATTGCAATTTAACATGAACTTCCCAGGAGTTTGTGCCTCACGGCAGAACAGTGCTGGCTAGGCACCCGGGTCAGATCTACAGCAAACACAATACGTCAGCGTCAGAGAACTCCTTGCTATACAAGCTCACCAACTTTGCCATCAAGGATGAGAGTCTACTGGAGCCACGGGACACTGAGGAGCAAGAGTGGTGGTGCATCCGCGAGGTGTACTATAAGACTTGTAATGGTTTGTACTTTATTAATACTATTTTATACCATGTACCTATGTAGCTAGCAAATGACAAGAAAACTAAGCTTTATTTATACCATGTATTAGATCTGATAACTATAGTAATATTTATTTATCTTAAGTGCTTATTTGATTTAAATGATTATGCTCATCTTAAATGGTAATTAAAAATTTTGTCAGACCATTGATCTTTATGGTTATAAAAAAAAGTTATGATAATTACTACTTGTAAAAATTGATAGGATATAAGAATCACTTAATTATTCTCTAATACTAAAAATAATTCTGAAGTGTTCTTTGATAAAAAACCCTTAATTTTTATAACAGATTTAGAAGATGAACCGCAACAACCGAAAGATTCAAAGTACGAGTTCAACTCTGAATCCTTTCGGGCACCGAGTCGTCTCAAAAATGACTTCAATATCTCTATTAAATCGGAATTGATGAGTGGTATGAAGAAGATGGAAGGAGACGGTTTGAACTCTGCCGGTCCATCTCGTGGTGGTAGCGCTAACAGTTCTAGTAACATGTCCAAGAAATTCAACCTGACTTCTGGTTCCGGAAGCAAGAATTCCAAAACTGGGTTAAATCCAAAGACTGATAGCTCTTATGAAGAGGAGTTATATGTTAAAGGGTGTACTGCTGTTTGGTCTAAAGGTAAGGGAATAATTTTTTCAAATTTTGATTGATGATGAAAAATGTTGATTATTATAGAATATTTACCGCTTTAACATACTGCACCACCTAATGGTTGACTGTCAGAGAATGCCTATGGCATTAAGTCCCCCAATTTCACAGTATATGTGCAATAAAGTTTTAATTAATTAATATGTTTTCAAACCTGAAGGATTATTATTGTTGTCAAGATAAAATGATTACAGAAAAGTGATATCATATTTTAGTTATGTAGGGATACATACTGCTAAATATTTGTGATTGTTAAAGGAGTTCAAAAAGTTTTCTTTTCAAACCATGAACAAATCCAATCCAATAGAAGCTGAGTGTGTTACATTAATATGTTTTATTTTATAGGTCTCATCTCCATGCCAGCTACAAAACTCACAGATCCAGAATACAGAGAAACAATAGCTTGCTACACCATAGAGAATCCCATAAAACATGCAGCTTTCTGCAATTTCCATGTTGATATCAAGAACACAATGCTTATAGATGCTCTAAATACTCAGATTGGTGATGTAAAGAAAAACATTAAGATTGAAGATACCACAGAACATATACAAACTAAAACCATGCCCGCCATTTTGTTAATAGATAGCAAATGTATGAAAGTTTACGCTAATGAAGGACGAGAATACATCACTAGTATACCGTTTCAAGTGAAAAAAGTTTGGCCTATGAAGTATGGAGTTTTATTAGAAAAGGAGGCTACACCTGTGACTCAGAACTCTGTGCTACCAACCTCCTTTATAAAATTAAATGAATCTCAGAATAGTACTTTTTCTAAGTCAAAATCGAACTTTCCGTTCAACATGAGTTCTAAGTTGCGACCGGATTCTGTGTCGGCGTTCGAACAAGATGTTGCATTGCCAACTTGCTTCTCATTAACGCATCCATTGGACGAAGTAACTCCTATACTGATGAAGTCACCTTCACAAGGACTTCAGTATTACAATGACGGAGATTTACAAATCATCTTTGTTAGTTCAAATCCGAGTATTATTTTACTGTACGACTGGAAACTAGGCACTCATTCACTATGGAAGATCAGAAAAACTGTTAGAGATGAATGTCTATCAATGTGTCCGAATATGAATTCTACTACAACGGTATTTAGTCAATCTTGTGACTTTATGGGAAGTCCGATGCAGAGCCAGAGGAACGTAACAAGTTGGGCAACTGGTCTGGGTAGTCCATACCAGTCGAAGAAGTTTCCAAGTACTCCAACTATGTCCAGATCTAGAATCAACAGTCCAATGGCCAACGTGTTCCATCAGCAAGGGTTGTCACCTCACGCTTCTATAGGACAAGCCTCTTACACTTCAATGATGGCAAACAATGGTCCACAGAATCCTCCATCATTACCATTGTACCCTGATATCTGCTTGGATCATATTTGGACGGACACACAAGTAATTAGAAGAGATCCTATTGAGTCTGCAAGTGATATGAAGACATTCTTACATACAGATTTAGTTGGTCATGATTATTTGTGTTTTATAGTGAAAGTGGGAGGTGTGAGTAGATTACAAATTGTACGCTTGCAACGATCTCATTCGTTGGGACAAACGTCTAAGACGAATCTCATGGTTGGAGCGGTTTCCACCATGTTGGCTAAAGATGCTGTGGTGTTGGAACATCTCAATATGATTGCGCTGATTGATGAGGCTGGGAACATTATCTTGCAGTCTGGGAATCATGTTGTTGGGAAAGTATGTAATTTTATTTTACTACCTATTTTGTTTCTTTTTTAACAGAGTCAGTATGTTTGTCAATCTTCTGATACAGTTTCACAATGGGGATGATGACAGGGTATGAAAATTAAAAATATAATTAGTCCGTAAGTTAGGTAATGAAAAAATATTAGACACGTATTTTTTTATTTTGTCGTATAATAAAACAATAGTTAGATAAAACGAATCAAAGTTTAGGAGTGGGGCCTAAAACGTCATTCCTTAGTATAAAATGTACTGAGAAGTGACGTCACGCGACATTTCAAATCAATATATCTTCGAAACTATTCGTTTCTGTGAGAAAATAAAAAATACGTGTCTAATGTTTTTAAATAATCTATCAGACGGACATTAAAATAAAAATTAGTCGTCTACCCCATTCTATTTATCATAATATCCTTTACTATAACTTGTCAATTTTCTACCATACTTGCAATTTATAAGACTTCGTCATTGGCGAGCGCAACGGCCTACAAAGTTTTTTTAATACGTTAATATATCGAACCAAAAATTTGTTCATACAAAAATAGTCTCTAAACATCGGAAATGAGGTCTATAATGCAGTTAGTCTACCGATAGGGGGATTGAGCAGAAAAAATTAAATAGATAAGTTGCATATTCATTGACGATTACTCCTGTTTTCCCTCAGGTCCACGTTGGCGGTGTGCTAGCCCGTCTAATAGACTCTCCCTACACCAAACGAGCTACCTTCCAGTCTCCCTTCCCCCGTCGCAGCAGTTTACTGCCCAGCCGGTGTAATGAAACATCCAACTTTGATGATTCAGCGCTCCATCTACTATCACCAGTGCCTCATACTTCCACTGCGAGACACGAGCAAAAGGAAAGCTTAGGTTTGTATCATTAGAGATCATTTTAACTTGGAGCAGTAAGTTCTTTAGGGATCAATTTAGTTTGGAAAATATGTTATTAAGTGTTGCGCGACTATCAACTTTATGTGTAAACAGCACAATAGGGTAGGTGCCTAAATTTTATTTTAATGTCCGTCTGGTACATCCATTTAAAACTTTAGACACGTATTTTTTCTTTTCTCACATAATTACATACTTTCGACGATATATTAATTTGAAATATGTTGTGACGTCACAGCATGCCACACTCCTAAAACTAGCGCCATTTTAGATAAAATGATTACTTAGATAAGTATTGCAACTTAGAAAATAAAAAAATACGTGTCTAACATTTTTTCATTGTCTAACTGACGGACTAATTAGATTTTTAATTTTGATACCCTGGAAACTACCCAACCTATATTCCCAATATTTTCGTATTAAAACATAGATCACTAAAAATAAGATAAAACATTTTAAAGACAACTCCTGAACATCTGTCTACAACAATCAATATTACTACACTATAAATAAGATACACAATCGTTTAATCATCTTTCTGTGTCTCCTGTTTCCAGGACTATGCGGTCTCTGTGATGCGGCTGGTTCCCGCATGACGTTGCAGTTCGAAGCCGGGCCGATGTACAGGATATCTTTACCCCCATTAACTTGTTCTACTTTAGTCACTCGGTGTTATACTGCTTTAAGAGCTATTTTGCCTAAAGATATTACTATGCAGGTGAGATATTGAATAATTAATTATTTCAATAAAATGTTTATATTAAATGACTGGTTGGGATATTTAGATGGTACCAACTTACATACATACATACATAACATACATAACTTCACGCCTTCAGGGTATACCCTACCTAGTCTCTACTAGGGAACGCCAATTACTACGATTCCTACATACCTCTTTCGCTTCATCAACAGTCATCAATCTTTTCATGCATCAATGCATGGTCGTCGGTTAAGGGTACTTTTAATTTGGCCCTTCTTTAATATATCGCCAATGTGGTCACTATAAATGTCCGTGGTACCAACTCAATATGAACAATAGAAACAAATGTTACCTGTGTAACTAAAGCCCTCATACATATTTATGTAATTTAAGTTTAGGCACCCTGAACAAAAGTAATAATATTTAATTCAGATTTTTTATTAATCTGTTTTGTCAACTTGTATTGAATTTGTGCACATTTATTTAAAACAACAAAGTAGTTACAGTACACTCATCAAATAATATTTTTCCAGGTTATAATAAAATGGTACGGCGTCCGCAACGCTCCAGGCACACAAGATCTAACTCCAGACCAAGAATGGTCAATGTTCTCGAACCTTCTCCTCTCTCTAATCGGATATGACGTAGAAAAACTACAAACTAAACAAACTGATGACGTAGACCATGCAGAGGTCGCCACTAAGAAGCAGAGGACCTCAAGCGATGGGTCCTCAGACGACTGGGAGTACTTACTGAACTCAAAAATGCATAAAGCCATAGGTCAATCTTTATCCATGTTAAAACTCCCCGTACCAAATTCAGATACTCACAGAAAAAACAAACGATCGAGTACTGAACCGGAAAAAACTGTACAAATTAACACAAATTCTATGCTCTTCCCGTATATATTACAAGTACTATATTCGCTACATTTAGTTTATGAAGAATTTAAACTGAACACTCTCCTTTGGAACAACTTGCGACCGTTGTCTTCGTTTTTATACCAACTGTCGAAGGATTTGAAATTGGATGCCTATGTCAACCATTATTGGTTGGATTTCCCAACGGATTTGAACTTGGAATACGATGATGAGTCCCAGATTTGTGAGGGTAATTGGAACAAGTTGTGGGAACCTGTATACTTTAGCCGGGACCCTCCTAACGTGTATTTGTATTTGAACTCGATGCTGAAGGATTTGGATGTGGGATCATACCCGTATTTAGCTGAAGTTAATGATATGTCCCGGGATATTATTGAGGTACGTAAATTAATTTTTCATTCTGCGTTTTTAGAAGGTGTTCCTGTTCTACATTTCACTTGAAACAAATATCTGTGTTGTCCTCAAATAATTGTGGATGTTAAAGGACACAATTTGTTCATAAAAGTAATTACGGAATCGCTCTCTGCCCTCGTTGCCCGAGTGGTCGCAAGTTTGATTGCCGGGCAACGGGTCTCGGATTCGATACCCGGGTCGCGCAAAGAATTACTGGGTTTTAAAAAAAAAATCTCAGTAGTAGCACGGAGTCTGGAATTGTACCCGGTATATGGCAATAGGCTCAACCCCTATTACATGAGACTTCTAACATAAACAGTGAAAAGTGGGTGTTACATTGTACAGTGGCATAATGTGCAACTCTGTCTACCCCTTCGGGGATAAAAGGCGTGATGTTGTGTTATGTCATTACGGAATAATTGAGGTTGCTAGTACTATACCTGTGGCATCGAGCTACAAGCGCTTGTCTACAGAGAGAGTAGAAAACTAAATGTATGGGAATGACAGTGACAAATATCAAAATTTACGTCAATTCCATATAATTTAGTTTTCTATTCTACATGTAGACAAGCGCTAACTGGCATTTGGCTACAGCTGCTGGTACACTACGAATCAATGGGTTTTGATATTTGTTATTTTCATCGAGTTTCAAAAGAGGAGGCACTATATTAGGATTAATGTTTATTCATTGGATATGATTCGAGTTGAATAATTCATCATCATCATCATCAACAGCCTATAAATGCCCACTGCTGAGCAAAGCCTCTTCTCACACGGAGAAGGTTTGAGCATTAATCACCACGCTGGCTCAATGCGGGTTGGCGATTACAAACTTATAATTAGAAATTATAAGCCCAGGTTTCCTCACGATGTTTTCCTTCACCGTTAGTCAGTGCTGTCTAAATAATCTTAGAAAGTACATATAACTCGGAAAAAGTCACATTGGTACTTGCCGTTGGTAGGTTTCGAACCCGCATTCTCATGCATGAGAAGCCAGCGTCTTAAACCTCCGGGCCACCACGACCTTAAACCTCCGGGCCACCACGAATAATTCAGTCCAAATCAATATCAGTTCCAGCTGTCACCGCCTCAAACTCTTTTTTGTCAAGATGTACTTAATTATATTTTTGTCTATAAACCTTTCAGATCTTATCAACAGTGGGTTGTGGCCGTAGTGCCGGTATACAGACTATATCGAGCAGGGACACAGTGGCGGCCAGTAGCACGCCGCGAGCTCGCCGCGATACTGCCAACTACAGCTCGGCATACTGCCAGGCGGTCATCATGGCCTGTGATAAAGGTACTTACAATCCTTACTAATATTATAAATCTGAAAGTGAGTTTGTTTGTTTGTTTGTTCCACCTTCACGCCGTAACTACTCAACCGATTGCTTTGAATTTTTGCAGACGTAAAGTTAGAAGTCCGGATTAAATAATAGGGTACTTTTTACAGAAAAAATGGATATTCCCGAGGAAAAACAAAAGTATTGGTACCTATAGATGGCGCTGTGTGTATTGGTATATTTCACATAGGCTACTTTTTATTCTTTTGTGACGCGAGCGAAGCCGCGGGTAAAAGCTAGTTATGTATAAAACATAAATATTGGTTTAGTACAAAGACTGCTTCATTGGCCGAGTGGTCGCAAGTGCGACTGCCGGGCAAGGGGACTCGGGTTCGATTCCCGGGTCGGGCAAATTATTTCTGGGTTTTAAAAAAATTCTCAATATCTGGAACTGTGCCCGGTATATGGCAATAGGCTCACCCCCCTATTACATGGGACTCTTAACATAAATACTGAAAAGTGGGTGTTTCATTGTACAGTGGAATAATGTACACCTCTGCCTACCCCTTCGGGGATAAAAGGCGTGATATTATGTATATTATACAAAGATCTATCCTGCCCCTTCATTTTCCTTTCACAATTTTCATCTCCAAAATCTCCAAAATCTCCAAATGTCGGCAACGCACTTATAACACCTGTAGCGGGTGTCAATAGGCGGCGACGATTGCTTACCATACAGATGATCCGTTGCCATAAAAAACTGTTTTCTATAATTAAATGTAAATATGATGATAGCGTGGAAAATGAAATCCATAGAAGTAATTCAATTATTATTATATTTATTTATGTTCATATTTGAAATATGTTAGTGTAATCTTCTATTTTCTCTATTAAATCGTTGCTTGCTTCTTGCTTCCATTCACTCTTCTCTGCATCACCCAAAGGTCAGACTGGGAGAAAATGCCTGCGGCATTAAGTCCACCTTGTGTACACCTTGTGCATGAAGCGTTAATAGAATAGAATAGAATAGAATAATTCAAAAATCTGCATAAAATAACCTTTATTATCTTTTAATTACCTGTTGAAATATCGTACCCTAAATTTGTTCATACAAAAGTAGTCTCTAAACATCGGAAATAAGGTCTTTAATGGAGTTAGTGGAGAGTGGTCACCGGTGACTGCTTAAGGATTGAGCTGTTAACATAATAATTATGCATTTAAGACAAAATCAACAATGCCTCTACTCTAATGACTCTTAATACCTCTTCTTCCAGGTATAACCCTCAGAGACGTGGACAACCTCCCACCAGCGCTAGGCCTCCTCCTCCTGACAATATTCAGTCGCTGCAAGAGTTCCCCTCCAGCAGACTGGCCGCCAGAAGCATATAACTTGGTGATGAGGGAAGACTTGGCCCATCAGGCAGAGGTCGCACATACTATGAAGACTGCGTCCGATTATATGGAGTGTAAGTTTTAAACGAAATTGGTTTTTTTTTTTGCTTAAGCCGGTAAACAAGCAGACGGATCACCTGATGGTAAGCATAAGGCGTCGCCCATGGACACCTGGAACACCAGAGGCGTTACAACTGCGTTACCGGCCTTTTGGGGATTAGGAGTTTGAGGATTTGGAGATTGGGGAAGGGTAAGGTAACTGGGTCTCCCATAACCTCACTCACACGATGAAACACAACGCAATTGCATTTGAAATTTTGAGCAGCGCTTAGACTGTCCAAGATTAGGAATGCTTATTAAATTCACAATTGTCTTAACTGATCATATTTTGCCTCTGCCCAACTTCTTGATCTAAAGATAAAGTACGTTTACGTACAGTGTAATTTATTCTTCGTTACGTATGGAATATCCGCTAATTCTTTTTTTTATACATAACTTTAATGCCATTTGTATATGCCTAACAACTAGAAATAAAATTGCGCAAAATTGCATTAATCTAACACTGACTGATGTTCAGTGCGCAAACACATTTTACCTCCACTACCAGTTTGCGCAACAAACAAAGTGTTGCGCAAACTGGTTGTGGAGGTACTAACCAACACTCCCTAACTCCCTAAATACAAAAATGTCTGTTCGTCTCCCCAGTCATAGCATTAGAAGTACTAGAGACGGACACAGTGTACACGTTGGCTAAGAAACCCGTGGAACCGGCGCGGAGTAACCCTGAAGATGCTGACGTCATCACCGGCATGGAACATCTTAACACACAACTACTTCACCTGCTGTACCCACGGGATCATAGGTGAGATGAGGACGTTATAATTGTATAATTAGTGCTTAAAATGTTATCACAATTTCTTCTTACTCGATTCCTTCACTGCTGAGGATCGTGACTCCCTCTGATTTTGCTCACTAATGTCGCCGCTTATCTCGTTGCGCTGGTCGATGCATTGCAACTGTCATGGGTATCTGGATATATCCAGCTCTTTGGATATTTAGTCAGAACACCGTATGGGAGTCTGGCCTCTCTGTCTCTTTCTTTCTACTTTACCGGTCATGAGGCGATCCAGATAACTAGCATCTCTGCGAGCATTATGGCCATTGTATCGCATGATCCTTTGCAAGCAGACTGTGGACAAGTGCAGTTGTCGATTTAGCTCTTTCAGAATGGTAAGCTGTCGACGGTATCCTCAGTATCCTGCATCCTCACCTGCATTATAACCGCAAGGCCTTTTACTTAATACTCCGCTAAAGTGGCCCTTATGTTGTTTCCCATTGCGCTTAACAGGACTCAATCTAATGACCATACGTGTATCACGTAATGACGTAATTTGATGAACTGAAAAGACTTCAAATGCAACTTAACTTTTATTTATTTTAATACGGTAAATTTGAAAAAAAGGGTTACTGGGTTTTTAGAAAATTCTCAATAGTAGCACGGAATCTGGAAATGTGCCCGGTATATGGCAATAAGCTCACCCCCTATTACATGGGCCTTATAACATAAATAGTGAAAAGTGGGTGTTACATTGTACACTGGCATAATGTGCACCTCTGCCTACCCATTCGGGGATAAAAGGCATGATGTTATGTTATATTAATTTGAAAATCATCTCTGCTGCTTATACTTTTACGATACATTTTCCTTCTGACTCTAAATGATGTTCCGGATAAAACGAATTTGTATTAATTGTTTCTAACTATTCTATTCCAGGATGTTAGAAGTAATAAACCTCCTCCAGTCATCGATTCCAGTGAATATAAACCTGACGCAGCGACCTGAAGTATCAGACCATGACTTCATAGAGGAACAGGAGAAGTATCTGTTTGCAGTCAGCACCAGGACCATGGCATTGCCTATAGCTAGGTAAGGGGTTTTTACGATGTTGTCATGTTGTATTTGCTTGATTTAGAAGTCGTATTTATTTATTTATTTATAATTCATGGAGGACTTACAGCTTATAAAAATGGATAAAAGTAACAATATGCATGCTTGGTTGGTGTGGTGGCTGGGCTGGCTGCCGTGCAACGTGTCGCGGGTTCGATTCTCGCACGGAACAACACTTTGTGTGATCCACAAATTGTTGTTTCGGGTCTGGGTGTCATTGTGTATGTGAACTATCAATGTGTATGTGTACAATCCTAGAGTGGGGCAAAGTTTAAAAAAAAAATATGCGTAGGTAACAATGAGCTAATATATAATCATCGATCAGGATGGAAGACTTTTATGGGTGTCCTCTGATTGTGACCCAATTAGGGAATATAGGACATTAAGTTAAAAATGGAGTTTGATGAACGGAGATCATTTCGGCTTCATACATTTTAGGGTGTGTCGGACAGTGTGTGATTCTAATAAGGCCCCAAAAAATATGCATTCTTTCGGTTTTATACTTGATGTAGTTGATCTTTTTTTGAAACAATCTTATAGTTCAGCAAAATATTATGCTTTTTTAAAATAGGATCTATAACTTAGCAATGCGGAATTCAAACGTTTCGTCTTCGTGGCTCAGAATTACTGTATCAAATGGATCATGGGACGTTTCTTATTTTACTAATGATGACTATAGTGATAAGTATTGTTGTCCGTGTCCAGAGGCATGGCGAGCCTGCGCTGCGTGCCGTGCCCGGGCACGGAGGCGGTGCAGCTGCCGCGCGTGTGTGCGTGGGGCCGCTGGCGGGGCCGCGGCGCGGGCGCGGACGGCGCCGCCCCGCCCGCCTGGCCCGCCTTCCACAACGGCGCCGCCGCCGCGCTGGCGCTCGTGCCGCTCTCCGGCTTCACTATAGATTCCGAGTGGGTCATCTATAACAAGCCACGGGTTAGTATGACCTGGAGAAACCTTTATATTTTCTTTCATATATAACATCACGCCTTTTATTCCCTAAAGGGTAGGCAGAAGTGCACATTACGGCATTTAATGCCACTATACAATGTAACACCCACTTTTCACTAATTATGTTATGAATCCCATGTAATAAGGGGTGAACCTATTGCTATATACCGGGCACAATTCCAGACTCCGTGCTACTACTGAGATTTTTAAAAACCTAGTAATACTTTACCCAACCCAGGAATCGAACCTGAGACCCCTTGCACTCGCACTTGCGACCACTTGGCCAACTAGGCAGTATTTTCTTTTATTGCTAACAATAAGTTTTCAATAGCAATAAAGCAATAAAGTGCAGACATAATAATATACTTGCTTGCATGAAACATCACTATATCGCCTGAAGAACTTTCTGTCAACCAGTAAGTACTGTTCAGACAATGTGTTCTTCATCATTATCAAATCAGAAACATAATGATAAGTCATAAAATTCAAATTCATAATGCATTTATTTTTCGTCACGGGTGCACTTAAAATTTACAATAGGTACTTAAAACTTTGATGGTTTATTCATTAACTTATTCAAATAAACCAAGAATGACCTAAAACGATTAATTATTATCCAAATAGGGTACAGCAGAGATGTCGACAGAACACGCGGGCTTCCTGATGGGCCTCGGTCTAAACGGTCACCTGCGGGACATGCCGTTCATGAACATATACGAGTATTTAGTCAAGTGCAACGAGATGATCAGTGTCGGACTTTTACTGGGGCTGGCTGCTACTTACAGAGGTAATTTCAAAGATATTTAGAAGTATTTCTTTTTACTTTTCTTTACTTTACTATTCTTTAGACTGCCTCGTTGGCCGAGTGGTCGCAAGTGCGACTGCTGGGCAAGGGGTCTCGGGTTCAATTCTCGAGTCGGGCAAAGTATTACTGAATTTTTAAAAATCTCAATAGTAGCACGGAGTTTGGAAATGTGCCCGGTATATGGCAATAGTCTCACCCTCTATTACATGGGACTCATAACATAAATAGTGAAAAGTGGGTGCTACATTGTACAGTGGCATTAAGTGCCGTAATGTGGACCTCTGCCTAGCCCTTCGGGGATAACAGGTGTGATGTTAATGTTATGTTATTTCTTTTATATTAAAACTTTTGTGAGACATATTTAATTAATTATTATGTTTTCGGTTTTCTCACGTAACTGTTTGACGTGGAACTCGACTAGTTTCAAGCCATGCTAGTGGCTCATATCCATGAGCAGTGTTTCGCGACCCGCGACGCGGCGACTGTCGCACTACTACTGATGTAGCTGTATGAGCCTCTAGCATGGCTTGAGCAAACCGGAAACATAAAGTCAAAGTCAAAACATTTATTTAAATTAAACCATAATTTGGTACTTTTGAAACGTCAACAAATACAAAATAAATAATAGTCTGTCAGTCAGTCCGTCAGCAAAGCTAGATGCTCATTCCAAAATGTAGATTCGAATGGAGAAGAACGAGCAAGAAACTCCAATATTCTACAATGTCTCTGATTTCACGCATTATTTGACGCTTTTTAATTTATTTTTAACGCAACTTAATTTATTTCAATTTTACTAACTTGTTTACTAACTCACAGCAACTTCATATAAACTATATAAACTTGTAACTCCTTCTAGGCACGATGGACGTCCAAGCAACGAAGATGATGAGCATCCACCTGGAGCCCCTGCTCCCCCCTACCTCGATAGAGCTGGACATCCAGCAGAACATACTGGTCGCAGCACTACTGGGGGTGGGGCTCATATACCAGGGCACAGCGCATACACATTATGCACAAGTATTGCTCAATGAGATCGGTAAGTTATATCGATTATTCAAAATCGCTCAAAGTTGGCACACTACTATGAAATTATTGCATATAAATTGTTAGTTCTATGTTTTGTTTCCTAGTTATGCGTATTAACTTGATATTTTTTAGCTGTTTATGCCATGTCTAATGATTGAACATCAAAGTCATCTTACATACACCTGTAGTTGTAAGTAATTTAAGTAAATAGTTACGAAAGTTACAATTAAATTAGTTTTCTATTTTACTATCTTAAAGAGAGATTTACACTAACAGGGTGATTTCATTAATAATGAATTCTATTAAATTTATGAATAAGGTCTCCTGACAGGCACGGTTGACTGTAGATGATAAATAAAATCGAACTATTCCGGCCACTGAAAGTCAAAGAGCCATAGCCGACATGAAACGTCATTTTGTAACAACGTATGTGTGGATGTGCATACATACGTTGTTACAAAATGACGTTTTGTATTGTATTGATTTCATAAAGCCTTCGAAATAGAAATAAATAAATAGTGCCTAGTTATTATGTAATTTATACTTTTGGTAATAATTATAGATGTAGTTAATTGTAGTGTGTAACTAGGTTCCCTTTTTACTTTATAGAAATTGACAAGATGTATTATAATAACAAAAATTGTATGACAAGGGCGCGGACCTAGAGTCTGTGGAGAATTAATCTATAATATTATAAAAAAAAACAACGTATATAGTTGGCGAGTGTGTATTGTGTGTCGCTCGAAATGTGTATGTGGTATTCCCAGGCCGCCCGCCGGGCCCCGAGGCGGAGGCGTGCGTGGAGCGGGAAGGCTATGCCCTGGCGGCCGGGCTGGCGCTGGGGCTGGTGCTGGCGGGCGCGGCGCGGGCCGGGGCGGCGCGACCGCCCGGGGGGGACACGCAGCACGTCGCGCGACGACTGCGGACGTACATGCTGGGGGGAGATAAACTACCGCTGACTGGTATGTTTGACTTGCCGTTTTTTTCTTTCTACTCTTATAATATCTTCTGATTCACTTCGTTGCGGGAACCAAGACAGTTATTCATGTCCCTGGCACGCGCCGGACTTCAGTGTTCCGGTGTTTTCATGGTTGTATCTACTGTAGATCCTGGCCCACAGGAGTTGCAGCGGTTTTAGAAGGTTGTGGCGGGCTTGTCCCATTAAAAAAACTGCTATGTTATAGTCGCTTTGAGGATTATTTTGGTAGAAAGAGATTTCTTAGTAATTGTTAACAATGAGTGACCATCCACTGGCGACATATGGAACTTCTCGTGTCTTTATGACTCTTCAAGCAAGCAAATTAGAGATGAGAATTTATTAAAAAATTTAGTTTGATGAGTTTATCAAGCTCGATCACTGTTAAATGTGTAAACTTAGTAATAGATACAATCAAATATTTAGTTTTTTAATGTTAATGAAAAGAAAGTTACTATTTATTTCGTCACTTATTTTTTTAATGGCTACGTTAAGTGCGATTTGTACGTTGTTACATGAGCCTCTATCGATAAAAACAAACGATACATTAAATCAAAAAAAGAGCGTTGGACCAAATACACTCCCTTGTGGTACTCCAAAATAAAATAAAATAAAAATAAGTTATTTGAACACTTATTCACTTATTGCAAAAATTAATAAACCATTAGTATCCTCGATCAAATATTAAAAAAGCCACATTCAACCAGGTACACAAAAAGATAAATACAAGCAAGGTTCCTTCGCTGTCCGGGAAGGTGCGACAGTGAACCTGGACGTGACATCCCCCGGCGCGACTCTTGCCCTGGGTCTGCTATACTTGCGTACTGGTTGCCCAGCGCGGGCCGCCTGGTTACAACCACCTCGCACTGCTTACCAACTTGACTTCGTTCGACCTGATCTGCTGATGTTGAGGGTTATTGCTAGAGGTAAGTTCTTCTTTTTTGTAATACATATTTATTGATATGATACGAAAGTTTGTGATTTTGTGTGTATGCTTGTTACTTAATCCCGTCAAACCGGCTGAAGGGATCCGTATGAAATTACAGGGATAGATTGTGGTTAAAAATAACACATTGGCTTTTTACGTTGCCTCGGTAACGCTGATAAACCGCTGCCAGAAGCAAGTAAAATAATAAAAGATGGATTCTTTCAACAAAAAATATCGTGATTTAATGTAACAACTGAACGATTTTGTTACTTGTCGTTTTCCAACAAATGTTTTATTTCTCAGGTCTGGTATTATGGGACAGTATTGAGCCTACTGAGGAGTGGGTGGAGAGCCAAGTACCCGACACCATAAAACCGTACTGCTTCGTCAAACCCACTGAGGATAATATCGACTATGAGGCTATGAAGTAAGTGTAAGATATGTGTTGTATAAAACAAAATAAATACTTTTTTTGTAATGTCGAACACATTAGTTTTTTTATATAAATTGTGTGACTTTGTGACGTCATAATTTTTGGGTCAAATAGCATATTTTTTATATGAAGTTGACTATAGTGGTTGACTTTTAACTGTAAAAGTAGCGGGAGATTATAATTATTTATTTATTTATTTATTTATTTATTACACCCTGGAGGACTTACAGCTAAAACTACATAAAAATAGAAGTGAACATAAACTACTGAAAGCCAATTACAAGTCCTCACGTATAGTGACAGACTTAAATTTGTTAGGTGAGCATATCACAATTTTCGCAGTGGTTACAGCTTATTAAAATTGTACAGTTTATTATACCAGTTAATTGCAAGGATCAACTAGAAACTAATATTAAATAGAAACTTTTAGTTACAAGAATAAGTGAAAGATAAAAATAATATAAACATTTCCGAAAACTAGGGATACAATTGAGATGCTACTTAAAAAACCTGAGGCTCATGCGCCTTCTGGCCGACGCCACGCTAGTCGCAAAGGGATCAAAGTCATACTGCTTACATATATTATTGAACTGTCTACCCGCTCGTATAATAAAACTATTCTGTCTGTAATTTGTTGATGCTAGAGGCACACGTAAGGGTGGGTTATTGCGGAATATTTTTTGTGGTACATTAAAGTGAAATTTAGATAGAAGTTCGGGGCTGTCAATATTGTTATTTAAGATTTTTAATACGTACAAAAAGTCGGCAATCTCACGTCGATCTTTGAGAGGTAATAAATGATATTTCTTACAGAGTCGAAGATAATCGACAGGGTGATATGGAATTTTTTGATGAAAACAGAGATATTTAATGAAACGTCTTTGGATGTTTTCTATGCGGTCGATGTACTTATGGTAACGTGGGTTCCATATCTGAGACGCATACTCAAGCTGACTTCTAACAAAGGTGCAATACAAAATTTTTAGTGTTTTGGCGTTATTAAAGCACTTAGAGAGACGCATAATAAACCCAAGCAATTTAGTGGCTTTTTTGATAATAGTGTCAACGTGGGTGTCAAAAACTAATTTGCTATCTTGATGAACACCTAAGTCACGGATGGTATCACACCTTGGCAAAGTCTGGCCCGATAAGATGTAGGTGTTGACTAGAGCGGCACGTTTCCTAGTGTAAGTAATTACTGAGCACTTAGATGGATTCAGATCGAGTTTATTAGCCCTACAGTAGACTTCAAGACGATGTAGATCAGCCTGAAGTGCCAATTCATCTTCGACCGATGATATTTTGGCAAAGATTTTCATGTCATCGGCGAAACACAGTAATTTGGATGATCGAAGGCACAGATCGATGTCGTTCACATAGATCACAAATAAGAAGGGCCCAAGTAACGAACCTTGAGGCACTCCGCTAGGCACTGAGACCCAACTAGATATATAATTATTGATCACTACAGCCTGCGATCTATTATTGATATATGAGGAGAACCACCTCAAGAGGTCCCCATGAATACCTATAGAGTTTAGCTTCTTGATCAAAGTGTCGTGATCAATACGATCGAATGCTTTGCTATAATCAGTGTAAACCACATCGACCTGGCTACCATCATCCATAGCTTTAGTAATAAAATCATTAAACAAAATCAGATTAGAAGTTGTAGACCGTCCCCTCAAAAAACCATGCTGGAAGGAGCCAAGCGAAGGTGCAAGAGCAGGGTATAACTGATTATAAATAATACGCTCAAATAATTTAGCAATAATGCACAATTTAGATATGGGCCTATAGTTAGTAACTTCAGTTTTAGACCCCTTCTTATAGACCGGTGTAATAAACGCAGATTTCCACACTCTGGGGACAACACCTTGAGACAAGGATTTGGAAAACAGAATAGAGATAGGTAATGCAATAGAAGTAGCACATTTAATAAGGAATTTAGAAGATATTTTATCAGGACCAGCTCCTTTGGATGGGTCTAAACTGCGGAGTAGGTTGGTCACAACATCAATTTTGATTTCAATGTTGGAAATATTAGAGGGAGATACAGTAGTATTTGAGGAGGAAACAGGGGCTGTATAGGGCATAGGCGTTGACCTGGGCTCGAGAAAAGTGGAATGGAAATAAGAGGAAAAAGCCTCACAAATAGAATCACCAGTGAGTAATAATTCATTATTGTATTTTAGTGTACTAGGCATAGCGTTCGAGTTGCAACGATTTTTAACAAATGTCCAAAAATGTTTAGGGTTATTCTTAATAGATGTTTCAGTTTGATTAAGGTAACAGTTATAGCATGAGGCTTCCATAGTCTTGACTCTTTCCCGCAAGTGTTTATAAGATAATTCGTCGGATTTATTACCATAAGTCTTGAATTTTTTAAGATATTTGTATTTTTCCTTGATAGTTCCAATGAGCGATTTACTAAACCAGATGGGGTAACTACTATTACGGACAAGCTTATGTGGTATATACTTATTTCGTAATTCCTTTATAGTATCCATAAAGTACGAAACTGAGCCGTCTAGAGATCGAGACGAAAACTGTTGTTCCCAATTCACTGCAAGAATTTCTTTGTTAATAGATACAAAATCGGCTCTGCTATAAACATATCTTAGCCGCGGTGCATGGTCCAAAGAAGGCATTTCAAACAAGTCGATATCAACTAACAAGGCGGGATGATAGGGATCAATAGCGACCAGCGGGTCCAAGCACTCAGTAACACAGGCTAATTTATCTGAGAGGACCAAATCCAACAATTTCCCATACCTATTAGTCACTCCATTGTATTGTTGAAGACCCAGAGTGCATAACTCATCGGCGAGCATACATTCGTCGCTAGTGGTAGGGTTCACTGGGATTAGCGAATTATTAGTGGATGAAGTCCACGAAATTCCACTCATATTAAAGTCACCTACAATAAGAAACACATCGGAAGAATGATTTAAGGTAGTTTGGTTTAATTTAGTAAAAAAATTGTTAAGTTGATTCAAGAACGAAAAACCGTTGTTTTGTTTACATAAATAAACAGCACAAACGTACAGGTTTACGAAATTATGAAGAAGAAAAGGATCAGCGGGGTTATTATGACGTCCTAAAGACAGAAACAAAGCTATACAAGTCGTCTAGTGATATATCGTGCCTTTAACGGAACCACTTTGGCTTTAAGACATCATAATACGCCACCAGTATAGGGTTTATAACCTCTAAATAATAGAAAGGTAGAAGAATATGAAAATGTTAATATCATTCATTTTGTGTTTTGAGACAAACCTCTATACCGTGTATTTCATTTTCGTCCCGAAGTAATATGATTCTGTCTTGGTAATTCAATAGATTTACAGAGAAATAAAATGTTTAAAACAAAAAATAACTGGTGAATCATTGCAAAAAGTAAACTTCGAGAACTGCGTACGAACTCGTACAGGACATAATCAAAACATCACGCCATGTCATTCTCGAAGAGGTATTTCTCGTTGGCTGGCACGTGCGATGCGAATAGAGCCTAAAAATAAAGGAATATATTTTTTTTAACTAAAAAGAAAAAGACGTCTTTATTTATTTTTGTTTTTACTTTATACGTCGAAAGTAATCCTAATGGCAAGTTGTTTTGCCGCGGGACGAAAACGAAATTTTCACGGTGTATAAATGTCAGACAATTTTTTACTTACCATACCTAGTCTAAGCCCCCTCACGCACTAGCGGTCAATCGCGCAGCTACCCGCTCCCTGCGGTTGACAGCTTTTCCAATTTAATATGCAACCGCGTCTATCGATACGAACAGCCTAACCACTAGTGCGTAAGGGGGCTAAAATGTCTCTTTTGATTCCAGCCAAGCATACTGCAACATAATAGCGGGCGCGTGCTTCGCGCTGGGGCTCCGGTTCGCGGGGTCGGGCGACGAGGACGCGCGCGACACCGCGCTGCACTACGCGCGCCTGTTCATTGCGCTCGGGGGGAAGACCATCGCCGAGCTAGCTGGCAGGTCCACGCTGGAGGCCTGTCTCTGTGTCTGTTTGTTGGCCGCTGGGATGGTAAGTTATGTTTTGTTGCGTAATACAAACAAACATCATTTTTGTATATGTTGCGAAAATTCCATTTTCGTTTTGTTAACATTATCAAACTTTCACCGCATGTATTTATTTATTTATTTATTTATTAAGGACAACAAACAGCAGTGTAATTAATATAACACGGGTGAGTAAAATAATAGATTTAACAAATACACTCCTCACGACGTTGCCACGGATTACCATAAATGTACTTAGCAAACACAATGGGGCAAACTTGAAGCTACAAACTATACAAACATAGGATAAATTTAAATTACAGAATTACTTTTTACCTGTACCTATCTATTATATATTTTTACCTACCTATATATTATATACATATATTTTGTGCACTATATGAATGTGAAACACAAACAACATGTAAAAAAAAAAAAAAAAAAATTTGAATTTCTCAAGGTATACATACTGAATCTGATAGCAAAATTAGCATTCATTTTTTTTTTCATTCCATTGCCTTATTTTTGCATTTCTTTATTAATCTGGAAGCAATTTGTGTTATAGCCATTAATTCCAACTTAATTATTCGAAACCGTATGTAAGTCGCAGGCGAATTGTATAATCCGCCTTATTACATTACGGCTAGCCATTTAGAAAAGCAGGGCCGTTTTGGGATACGGCGACTGCACGATTAGCCGTATTGTCAATGCGAAACGTACTACAATATGACGGCACACGTTTAGTCTCACTGTAATTATTTTACGATGAATGATCTGGGTGACCGTCACCATATTTTATATTATTTTGTAATATTAAAATGTCACGTTATTCCAAGATGGCGACTGTACAAAGTTATCAACATAGTCGTCATGTCTCGAGATCGTTTTAATGGTTTTTGAGGGTGCTGAGGTGAAGTAAAAAAGCGTGACATGGTGGATGGTATCAGCACCTTATTGAAATTGGATATCAGGGTGATATTATG